ATCTCTAATCTAAACCATTTGGGCTAAGCAGTGGAGACTCCAACAGCCGGCTACCATAGATCACTTCTAGATGCTCTACTAGTTTCCCAGCAGGTTTTTCTGCTTTGGGAAGTAGGTGGTTAATCCCACACAGTCTCGGTAGTTGGGTATCCATTGATTTCAACTATTCATACTGGTGAGCATTTATTTGGAAATCTGTAACCGTTTCCTTAAGGAGAAGCACGCATGCAGTCCTGGTAGTATCAACTTAAAAATTCCTCTCCCAATCCTATGGGGAAAACTGATTTTTATCCCAGAGAACTGAACTCCAGGGAGTGAATGACCTCTTATGCAAACATACAGTCGGTTGCCTTCTCTCATGCAGATGTCGAAGTGTACAAAGTTAACAAGTTACTGATGCCTATGGGTATCTACTCCCGCTCCCCAGAAAAAAACCCAATTCCCTTTTGTCCTCCCATACATCTTGGCGGGGGAGGGAAACGGCATAAGTTCAAGGGGAGATGTATTCCTGTAATCCCAAATTGGAACTAGAAATTCACTTTCCCTTAGAAACAATGTTATCAATGTGTACTCTTTATAACCTAGGGTCCACAAACTTGTATTTTAAAAATATTTTGTTAACTGTATTACATTAAAACTGATTTCCTTTGTGATCCTCTATTTTTTATGCAATTAAAATCATTATTCTGAGAAGGGTTCCATAGACCTTACCATACTGAAAAAAGGGGTCCATGATACATAAAAGATCTAAAAAAAAACCATCCCAACCTTCTGATTTATGACATTTGTCTTTTTGGGAAAATATATTACCAGTTTACCACCAGTCATTAAGACTCTATTCCATCTCCATAGTTGGTACCTCCTCTCTGCCTTGGGAAGCTGCTAATGAATGTTTCTGCTTCTTCTGGTTGAGGGAGGAAGTTACTGTGACATTGCCCCAATCAAGCTTTCAAGACCTTTTCTTCTGAACTCACCCTTCCTCTCCAAAGGAAAATACCCCACCCTTTGTTCCTGGCAGGGTTGTCAGGGTGGTGGGTGAATTTCTTTCCATTCCAGTTCTGCTCCTGGACCGCTTGGGTCATTGGGTCATGTAAAATACATCAAAGCTTCAATAAGCCTCAAGGAGGCACCTGGGAACCCTTGAGGACATCAGACTTGACCAACTTTGCCCTGTATTACTGCTGCCACAGTAAGGGTTGCTCTCCTCCTCACACACTAGACATGTGTAGTGGATTTGCTCACCCAAAGAACAGACTAATTAGCAATCTGAAAGCGACATGGAAGAAAGGCCAGGGAAATGGAGACCAATGGAAAAAGAACTAAGCACAAAGATAAGGAGAAAGAGTGGCAAATAGAAGATATGTGACAATGACTAGTAGTAGTAGAAAAGGGGAATGACAGTGATAGACCTGACCAGGTGCATCACAGAAGAAATTTGGGAATCCCTCCGATGATTTGGGGCACCGGGTTTGTCAATTTATTCATAGAGACCCACCCAGTCGGTCTGATTCTGTCATAGCCTCAGTTCCCTTTAAATGATACTTTTTCACTTTTTTCTCCTAATGTTGGTTTCTCAGGAACGTTACTTCCATTTGTGACATTATTCCTATAAAATGACCTACCATTTTACAATATTGTTTCACCTAAAATCATGTTTCCATGGACACACTTAATGACATTGAATATCAGAATTGCTCTACTGAATATATGCTAACCTAATATTTGTTATATTTTGCTGAATAGATAATGCTCTAACTCTAGGTTTTAGTGGTGTAGGGCATAGGGTTGAATAGTCATTGACTCCAAGAGTTGGGCAGGTAGGTGGCACAGGGAATAGAGCTCTGGGCCTGGAGTCAGAAAGTCCTGAGTTCAAATTTGACTTCAGATACTTGTGACCCTGGGTAAGTCACTTAACCTTGTTTGCCTCAGTTTCCTCATCTGTAAAATAAGCTGGAGAAGGAAATGGCAAACCATTCCAGTATCTTTGCCAGGAAAACCCCAAATGGAGTCGTGAAGAGCCGGACATGACTCAACAACACCACACAGTGTATTTCCCGACCTTCAGTGGTATGCAAGATCAGGGAAGCTCTAATTATATCTGGTTTGCATTACCACAAAAGTATCTTCATTTTAATAACAGTAGTTGATGTTCACATAAGGGGGGATCTCAGTGGAGTCATTCAAATCACCTCAGTGTCGCTTAGCGTGATAATGCAGAATAGGGTAATTTGATTAATTGACTCAGTCTATCGCCACCAAAAATATAATTTTATCCAAGACCCAAAGGTCATAACTGAGTCTCCTCAGCCTATATGAATTTCTTTCCTGTGTAATGTCACTCCATTTCATCCGGCGGCTTTCTGTGTTTCTAAATTTTATCAAGGACTTTTTACATCTAGTCTAAAGCCTTCGCTCGGTTGGTTGACTGATTCAATAGAAGTGTGTTGGCCATATTCACACTTAGTTCATACTTTTGACTTGTTGATGGACTCACTGGAAGTATTCTCACCTGATAAGAGTATTAGGACTGAAGGGGTTATGGTGATTTGATTGACTCAGTTGACCCCCCCTCCAACCCTTATATTTATATAGTACTATAAGGCTTGCAAAGCTCTTAATAAATATTTTATTTCTCTTCATGACAAGCTTGGGAGTTAAGCACTGTTATTATCCCCAGTTGAGGCAGCCAGTGGATGCAGTGGATAAAGAGTCAGGCAGATCTGAGTTCAAATCCAGGTTCAGACACTTCCTAGCTATGCGACAGTGGGTAAGTCACATGCCCTCTGTTTGCTTCAGTTTCCTCATCTGTAAAATGGGGATAATAATATTACCTGCTTCCCAGGGTTGTGAAGATCGAATGAGTTAATAATTGTAAAGCATTTAGCACGATGCCTGGTACATAGTAAGTACTCCATAAATGTTAATAATTAATTTTATTGTTGTTGTCAAGAAGACTGAAACTTAGAGAGGTGACTCACCAGTTGTCATGTCTCTCCTGATTCTGAGTCTGGTGTTCCTTCCACCACGACACCAGGCTGACCCTTCATTCTCTGTGCTCCAGAAGTCACCTGGTTAATCATTCAAACTGTCTTCGAACAGGGCTCGCTTATCACGGAACTAGTTTTATGAAGTGCTTAAGCATCTATTTATGATTTAACAACCCAACCGAAGTACAAAGACTCAAGGTTGAGCTCGTCTTCTATGCCATGAATTTTGAAGTGGGAGAGACTTTGGAAGACTGAGTCAGCCCCTCCCCCACCCCACCCCATTCTACAGATGAGAGAGTAGTCCCAGAGAAATTAAAGAACTTGCCCACGCTCACTTGAGACGAAGTGACAGAAATAGCATTGGAACCTGGGTCCTCAGTCTCTCAATCCAATGTTGCTTTTACTGCCCCAACCTACTTCTCAAAGTGAAAGACGGACTATCTGGTGGGAAATGGTTTTGATGTGTTAGTCTTATTGTGAAATGCACTGATCTGCTTCCCTTTGTAAAGGTCTATTATCTCCTACATAAGAATCTCATAGCTTCCCATTGTTCCATCTAGTATCAAACCCCAAAGCTTCACCAGGAGGCCCCTGGACTGCCATATTCTCTCATTTCCTTCTCCAGACCACTCTCCACCATTCTTCAGGTTATCCTCTCTCACTTCAAAGCTCTTTCCCACAGTCATGGAGGCCAACCAATTACCTCAATCCCCTGAAATCTCACCTCCACCATGAAATTAAATGAGAGTGGATAAATCTGGAACCTAGGACAACAAAATACCCTCGTTCATAGGGTGTGGGTTAGATCCTCTAACTAGTCTCTGTCCTTGTTGGCATCTTCTGAGACAGAGTACCTCGCTCCTTAGATGGCAGAGAAGGGTGTAATGTAATTTATTCTACGTAGTATCCAGCAAAAGTATCATGCAAACAGGTGCTTAATTTTTTTTTTTTAATCATGGCCACTAAACAGCCTTGCAATAGCTAGGTTACTGAAGTCAACAGGAATGCTTTCTACAACAAAGGCGTCACTCTGTTCGAGTTGACCAGTTTTGGAGTGAAAACACAAGTTTGTATATAAACACAACAGTATTTACTTTTCTCTTTCCAGTTACAAATAAACGTTGTTGTTCTTGATTTTGAATCCTTTCAGCCATGTCTGACTTTTCATGACACCATTTGGGGTTTTCTTGGCAAAGATACTGTAGTGGTTTGCCATTTCCTTCTTCAGCTCATTTTACAGATGAGGAAACCGAAGCAAACAAGATTAAATGACTTGCCCAGGGTCACCAAGCCAGCTAGTTAAGTGTCTAAGGCCACATTTGAACTCAAGCCTTCCTGACTTAAGGCCCTTTACTCTATCTGCTGTACCACCTGCCTGCCCACAAATAAACATCCATCCATTCATCATTCAGCAAGCACCGAACCCTCCTGACCTTTGCCTCTTAGAATACTTTGCTTCCTCAAAGGCCCTACTCAAAAGCCACTCACTACACAAGGCTTTTCTAATTGTTCTCGTTGTGAGCTCCCCCCCTCCAAATTACCTTGTGTTTACTTTGAATTGATTTTGTATTCACTTAGATACAATCTTATATAGTGCCTCTATGCTGAGAGGCAGTGTGACATGATGGTTAGAGATCTGATCTTGAAACCAGGAAGACCTGGGTTCCAGTACTCTCTCTGACATCTACTGACTGTATGACCCTGGGTGAGTCTCTTGATCTATCAGTGCTCTAGGCAACTCTGTCTGACCATAAGTTTGCAGAGAAAGTACTGAACTGCGCTGGTAGAAGAAGTATCTTTACCTGGAAGTCCCTTACACCAATGAAATCTCAAGTCTAACCCCTATCTTTATATATGAAAATGTTGCTTTCCCCCAAGAGAATGTAAGCTCAGTGTTGTCCCTGTGTATCCAAAGATTAACAGTGCCTGGCACACAATAGGTGTTTAATAAATGCTTGTTGAATCAGTAAATTAACTCAATATAAGGGCACTCATTTTTCTTTTTCTTTTCAGTTACAGAGACTCATTTGCCACGTCTAAAGCTCCTGCATTATCATCATTTGCTCATTTCCCTAAAGAGGCATCTCACATGACTGACATCTCAAGTCCTATAAAATCAGATGTGTCAAAAGCTTTTCTTGCAGTAGAAACAACGAAAGGTACGAATTGCATCTCACATGATGGTTTTCCTTTGAACTTTTAAAATTCAAATGTATGTTTCAAATGAAACATACGAAATATGAAAATATGTTTCAAAAGCCAAAAGGATAAGAAATCAGGGGTCTAATGCTGTTGGTAGTTATTAAATCAATAAGTTAATAAACATTTATTAAGCACCTTCTATGTGCCAGGCACTGTGCTCAGTGATGGAATAAATAATCAGGGAATAGATACTTATTTTGGAGGTATTATTTGCTAGGCCTACATTCAGCAAAGGCCAAATGCCAAGCAGATCAGTCTTCCTAAGGCACAGTTCAACTTCTGTCACCACGTGATTCAATGCCTTCTATGACTCTCCATTGTCTAGGAAATGAAAACCAAACATTTTAGCCTGGCATTCGAGGCCTTCCATCACCTAGTTACAGCCCACCTCTTCAACCTTCTCCTATGCTTCCCTTCATGTTTACTATCCTCCAGTCCACCTGGCTTCCATGCATCTGATGAGCTCTTGTACCATCTCTGCCTATTGACATCCTACCCATCCTTTTCATACCTTTCTCAAATATCATCTCCTCCTTGAAGACTTCCCTGATCCCACTAGTCGATAGTGGCCTGTCTTTCATCTGATCTCATAGTCCTTTGTGCTCCGATAATTACTTATATTTATAATAGTGCCTTTAAGCATTTTACATGCATTTTTATTTGAAGTCCATATCATGGTCAGATCTATATTATATATGCACATATATATAACATATATATTATTTATCTTTTTACTCATTGGATTTTAAGCTTCTTGAGAAAAGATGCTATCTTATTTATCTTTATATTTTCCCCAGCTGTTTGATAAAAGACCGAATCAGTAAATGCTTCCATATAAGTTCTCTTTCTGTTATTCATCATGGCATGGAAGTAATCTTGAGCCCTTGAAGTCTGCACCCTTGGAATGAAAGGTCTGATAGTTTCAACCATTCTGGAAAAGCTTAGAGTACAGACCTGGTAACAAACATACCATGTTTCTTCTCTGAAAACCAACCCAGCTCAATACTGAGAAGCCTGACACCAGTAAATTGGTCACTAGGCAATGAATTATTTGGCCATAATAATCCTTGAAACAAAGAAAAATACATGATCTCCCTCAATCCTGTAGATCCCTTCTGCCTTTCCACTTGGGTAGTGAAGATGGCAGAGTGATGAAAAAGGAGGAAGAATGTACTAAGAATCACACGGGTTTTAGACCATCTTAAGATGCTCACCACAGTGCAATGTCTGCATTGATATACTGCTGTCAGATCTTAACCATGTTGACACTGGAATTCTTATTATAAAGGAAATAAAAAGACAAAAATAGAATAAACTCCTCCTTGAGGGAAGGAACTTTTTTTTGTCTTCGTATGCCTGAAATCTAACACACTGCCTTGAACATAGTAGACACAAACAAGTGTTTGTTGAATTGAGTGAGTTGAATCAAGAAGTCATGACTAAATGGAAAGATGGATCACAAGTTCTCCTTGTAAGGGGCAGCTAGGTGGCACAGTGGATAGAGCTCTTGCCTTGAAGTCAGGAGGACCTGAGTACAAATTCAGCCTTAGACACTTGACACTTACTAGCTGTGTGACCCTGGGCAAGTCGCCTAACCCCAATTGCCTCACAAAAGAAAAAACAAAACAAAACAAAAAACCAAGTTCTCCTTGTAATGGAAAATAAAGGACTTGCTTGAGTTGGTTTCATCAGGTACCCAAAGGCAACAAGAATCGTCCTATCTTGAGACTAACTGGGTCATTTTGCCTTGCAGTACTCATGATGGGTATAGCTGAAAAGATCGCCATGAAGATGATTACAGCTTATGTGCCAGCATCCATCTGTTTTGGAGGGACCAGACATAGCTAAATTCTATAAAGAACTCAACAAAATCCTCCTAACCAATTCAACCTACACATTGATAATTAGAAACTTTAATACAAATATGGACACAGGAAAGATGACAAAATACATATATGGTTTAGGATTAAGAAATGGAAGAGGCTGAAGACTTATAGACCAGAGGTGTCAAACTACTAGACACTTAGGTCACATTGCTGCTGGTAATACTCCCAGTATTGTCCAAACCATATTAAAATGTAATTGGGAAATATTTAACAAAATAAATAAAAATACAGTAGAACATAGCAAGTTAATGTGGTTTTCTAAATGACCATTTGGCGCCTGCAGGGTTCTTTATGTATAGTTTAGTGGTCCCATTTCCACTTGAATTTGATACCTTTTTTTGTAGACCACTTGAAAGCCTTAAGCTTTTTACTATGTTCAAGGAATGATGCTAAATATTGGGCATTGAAAACCCTAAACGAGACAGTCACTGTCCTCAAGGACCTCACATTTAAATGGTGGTGGGTATAATATGTACAAAAATAAGTATAATACAAATAATTTGAGGAGAGGGAGAAAGAGTACACACCAGCTACTAAAGGGACAAAGACTCTACTCAGAAGGTGCCTGAGATGAGTCTTGAAGGAAGTTAAGATTCTGAGAGGCAGAGATAAGGAGGAAGTACAATCTAGGCATGAAGATGTAAAAATGTGCAGAGGTGGCAGATGAACTGTTAAGTACAACAGTACTGCCCACAATCTTCAGTTCTCTAAGCTAAACATCACCAGTTCCTCTAAACAAACTTCATACATTATGATCTGAAAGCCTTCTAACAATATTAGTTGCCTCATTTGGACATGCTCTCTCTACCTTGTCAATGTCCTTCTGAAAGTATAATTTTCAGTGGAAAAACATGATATTCCAATTGCTGTCTGACCAGTACAGTAAGACTATCACTTTATTTGGTTTGAACATTATGACTCTCTTAATACAAACTGAAATTGAATTAGCTTTTTCAGCTGCCATATTGCCCTAAGATTGATATTGAATTTGTAGTTCAATAAAAAGCTCACATGGACTGTTTCATCTCCTATAGGCAAACTTTATTATTTGAAGGAAAATACAGAACTTTACCTTTACCCTAATGTAATTTAATTTAATGAGATTTGGCCATTGTTTTAACATTTTAAAATCTTTTAGGATTCTGACATCTCATCCAATATTTTAGCTATTCTTCCCAATTTTATGTCGTTTGCAAAACTGACGAGCGATGCCATCTATGCTTACATCCATGTTATTGATTAAAATGTTGAGAAGTACAGGACCAAAGACAGAGTCATTGGGGGATTCACTCGAAATATCTAAGTTGTCATTAATTCATTAGTAACTGGTCTCTTTGGATCCAGCTATTCAACCCATGCTGAATCCACTGTACTACAGCTTACTTAAGTCTCCATGTAACTCACTCCTCAACATTTTGTTTGTAAGGATAGTGTGAGATATTTTGTCAGAGGTGTTCCCGAAATACTGTTTTATTGTGCACACAGCATTCTTTTGATTTACCATTTACACCTACTCTGTGTAAGTAATCTAATTACTTAGTCAAAAAAGGAAGAAAGAAAAGATAGGGTTGGTCTGGCTCTTCTTGATCTCCACTTACATTTCTTTGTTACTATGTTCTTGAATTTTTCCAGGAATTGAAGAATCTTTAAGTTTCCCTCTTCTTAAAAAAAAAAAAAGTGGTGTGGGTGGCATTTCTTTGATTCTTTCTTGATTCCTACAACCTTTCTTTCATTCTCTATCATTTTTCAAAGATCTCTCTCTGACACTTTTCTTAGTATTCTAGGATGTCGCCCATCTCGGCCTGGAGGCTTTTACATGTCACCAGTTTAGACCTGGTAACAAATTGTCACCATCTTTTCAAATAGCTCAGGTTTCGACTCCCCCTTAACCATTTTTGTCCTCTCTTCCCCCGTCCAAAGATCATTTTGCTTAGAAGATAAAAGTAAAGTAAAAATGGATAGTTCTGCTTTCTTGCAGTCATCCATTGTTCCCATTCAGCCAGGTCAATGTTTCTATCCCCTCCTTGATCTGCATCTCACCTTCAATATCTTACTGGCTTTTTTTTTTTTTAAGAGCCCTTTTCCTAGTGTCTTGAGCAATTATCACCAAATTCCCTCATTCTGGGTGTCAGCACTCCTAACATTATCTTGTTAGGACCACTCTTACGTTCAAGTTTCATTACTTTCCTTTGCCCCCATTGTTTTAAAATTTTGAGTTGATCAATGAGCCCCAATTAGTCTCTTTAAATAATTTTCCCCTTTTTCCTCTCCATTAATTTTTTTGGGATCCTTCAGAATTTTATTCTAGAGAGATTTCCAGCCACCTGTTCACATCCTCATTCTCATTTTCTCTTCTAAATCCTTTACCTTAAATGTGGGCGACAATCATGAGAGCACTGCCCATATCCATAACATCTTCAGTTCCTTACTCAGGACTTTGCAGTCCATAGCAATGCTTTCTGGATATTCTTTGGTGGGATCATTTGCCTGCACATGAATTACAAATAGCGTAGGCAGGTGTTTGGGATATGCACCCCAGGGAGAGAGCAGACATCTTTTTTATTTCTGTCAAGTTTACAAAGAGCTTTTTGTTAGTTTTAGCAGTCACCGATTGCTGCCTGTTTCATCTTTCTCCAACTTTTACTGGTAAGACCCTGATGACACTCATGGATCGACATCAGCAACCCTCCAAGGCCAGGAAGCCATGTCCTCCTGGGAGGCTCCTGTTCTGCCTTCTCAGGAACAGGCTTGTGCCTATTACTATGGCTTAGCTTTGAGTGTTCAGTAAATGGTCCTTCCTTTGCTTCTTCTTCTTATAGTCTCCTACATTCTGGCCTTCTGACACAGCTTATGATTCCCCTTTCCCTTCTGAAACTTTTTCTTCTTTCTTTTCTCCCTGAAACACTTTTTCCATTTTTTTTCCCCCAGAGAAGGCTTAACTTTTCCATTATAACCTGAAGAGTAGCCATGTTGTTCTCTAGGATGAAGAATTCTCTCTTCTTTACACAGGCAGCTAGGGGATGCCACATTGCATAAGAGCACTGGGCCTGGAATCAAAAAGACATGAGTTCAAATCCAGCCTCAGACACTTGCTAGCTGTGTGACCCTGGGCAAGTCATTTAACTTCAGTTTCCTCAACTGTAAAATGGAGGTAATGATAATACCTACTTCCCAGGGTGGTTGTGAGGTTGAAATAATGTTTTTTTTTTAAAGCAATTAGCATAGTGCCTAGCACATAGTAGTAGGTGCTACAGAAACATTTATTTCTCTTCCTCCTTACACATCCATGGTTACTTTCTGGTAGTTCACAGGAACTCTCTGAGGGGTCACCAGATGATGTACCTTGCCCACCATATTTGCTAGAAGTGGGTTCTTCAGTCTTTTGTCATTTTTGCTGGTAGTCCTTATGGCTAAATATGGTGGTAAACTGCCCATTTTCCACATCTGTTAGCTCAACTATAAACTTGAACAAGGTTTATTTTCCTACCTTTTCTCACAAGAGGTTCCCTTTATCAGCTGCCTTTGATTGGCAATTAGTATTTTTCTACCATACCCTTATGGAAAGAAAGTTACTCTGGTCTGTCCCCTGGGCCAGGGTCTAAAGCAAGAACTTAATTACCATCAGGGGTGCAATTGAAATCAACCTAGTTATCCATGGGTATTCTTCTCTTCCCATTGAAACTTGTACCTCCTTGCTCCCCTACTTTCAGCTTCTCACCTGAGATAGAACCCTGATCCTTTCATAGCTCTCTAAATTATAAAGGTATATCAGAACTCTTACCTTTATGAACAGAAATAGGAACAAGAGGGTGAAGCTACAGCAAAGAAGATTTCAGATTGATATGAAGAGAAGTCTCCTTGCAATTATAGCTTTCAGAAGTGGGAATGGGAGGTTGTCCTGGGAGCTGGTATGTTCACCCTCCCTGGAGATTTCCAGGCAGAAGTTTGGAAGAACATCACCTTGTCAAGGATGCTGCAAAGAGGACCCCTGTCCAAGTAGAGGTTGGATTAGAATGGCCTCCAGGGATGCTTCCACTCTGAGATCCTGGGATTCTGTGATCTTCCCAGTCCTGTACAAATGTTCCCGGTGGCTATATCAATCACTGAGGAAGAGCTTCGAAGGTACATGTTTCTAGAAAAAAGGTTTAGAAGGAGGGGAAGGGATTGAGGGAAAAGAAAAGGGATCAGGGCATTGGCACATTCCATTGGATGCCCCTAGGGGACAGAATGAATGGTGCTGAAGAACTGGACCTTAACATCTTTCTGAAGGAGAGTAACCCTTTAGCCTATGTCTGAGCAAATGCCTAAATACCCTCTGGAATAATCCATTCCTACGTGCACATGATGACTTCCACATGTGTTCATTGCTATTTAACTCAGTTTTTATTTATGCTTCACAGTTAGCTTTGAAAGAATCTAGAATTCCTTCAGACTAGTAAAACCCTCCTTTTCCTCATCCTGCATACTGATGTGGGTTAAATATGTGTTTGTGTTTTGGTTTTTTTTTTTCGTTTTTACAGAACAGTTAATTAAACCTTCATTTGAATCATCTGAGAGAAAGCTCAGAGTAAGACCCACCGGATACCAATCCACCATCCAGCCAGGTTCCAACACCAAAGTCATCCTCCCTCCCATACCACAATGCCGAAAATAGGCCAGTGCCGAATGTCTGCCTTCAAGAGGAAAAAATTGCTTCGCTCATGCCCAAGCCTTCTATCTAACCTGGCTACTGATTCTAACTTTATCTTCCCCAGCCAGATGCCTACAAAAGAATGCTCCATGTGCCTTTAGTACTCTCAATCAGTCTCTTTATAACTCTCTGAATAGCTTCTGTCTTTTCAAAAGAAAAATGTGATTTATTTTTAGCTTCAAAAAATGACATTTCAGTTTTCTCCATAGCTATAAATGATTTTCCCAGCTGTTTCTTGCTTTGAAATGTCACAGAGAGCAGAAATCTCCTAAGATCCATGTGATGATATGTTCATGGTGATTTTAAAATATTTTTAGAACTACACTTAGGGGCCAGCCTTAAGATTTTCTACTTGCCCTTTTGTAATATTGGTAGATATTCTATAATAAATTATTGTCCTGTTTAGATTAAGAAAGGATTGGGGAATTATACATTATTTGTGGCTAACATGCACCAACTATCTCTTTCAAAGGTAATCATCTTTGCAAAAAAAATATATATTTAAAAGTTTAAAGTATTAATGTGAATTTCTTCAATCTGATTTTTATTTTAAGTTGTAACCATTATTTCCTTGAATTGCTTCAACAATATTAGGAAATAAAGAAAATGTTAGTCCCTTCTGTTTCAAGTTAGACACTTCTTGTCATTAGCTAAATATTGTGATCTAGTAGAAATGGTTTTCCAACCCGTGTTAATCTTCATGACTATTAGAAACAGAGGGAAACCTTATCTTTACAGCAAAAATCTAGGTAGTAACAGAGAGATTCCATTGGCTTTTATTTTTCCAAATCTCTTCTAAAAATTGTTTTTCAATTACAACTCATTGTTTCTTTTGTGTTCTTGATTAGAGATCATCCACTTAAGAGTTGGAATCACATTTCACTTAGATTTGAAGCTTAATGGCATGGATCCTTCTGGGCTTTGTAAAACAGATTATGTTGTTAGCAGTACACAAGTTTTCATAACATTTTTAACTGTTCCCCACACTTAGATTAAACTTTATGTGAGTCCTGACCAAAATTCTCAGTAGGATCCATTATATTAACTTTGCTCATCATCATTAAATCAAATTAGTAATAGTTAGAGAAATCATGGTAATGGTGCTGGCCTTCAACCAAGAAGACCCAAGTTAAAGTTCAGTTTAGGACACAGACTAGCTTTGTGACGTTGGGCAGGCAAATCTCAGTGTCCCAGGCAGTGCGTTAAAAGTTGCAGAATTTTTGGCAAACAACTTCAGTTGCAAATCTGAAGTAGTAAAGAAAATTTCCTTATCTTAACAAAGCCATAGGGCCATCCCCATCGGTGCAAATTACACTAATTCTAGTGTAATTTTATATTTCATGCTTCGCTACAGTTTCCTATTGATGCAAGTGGTGACAAATACCAAAGAATTTCAAGAATTCAGTTGTGAATAATTGTTTTAGTTAAAATAAAATTGGCTTATATGACATTCTATCAATTGAAAATCTATTAAACAGCATTTCCCGTATTTCACCAACACCATAAAAATCGATGTTCATGATGATGTCCCCAAGGCACAGCAAGCTTCTGAAAGACCTTCACAAAGCACATTTGGGCCCAATATATAAAAAAAAATAATATCCTAGCAATTAAAGCTGTCTCGAAATGGAATGAACTACCTTATAAAGTAGTAACTTCCCTTTCACAGAAGGTCTTCAAGTCAGGGCTGGATGACCACTTATTGGAAACATTATAAATGGGTAAAAATTAGACCTTTAATTTCCCACAATTCTGTGTTTCTGAATAATCAAAGAGAAATGATGAAATTGTGTTCAATACGGTTTCATTATTAAATGGATTTTCTGGTATCCTACTTCTTTGAAAATTGATCATCTATATGTGGTAATTCACACCATATTTAATAAACATTTATTAAGCCTTACTTTGTATAAGGCACTATGACAGATGCAATATAGACCTTGCTCTCAGGAAACTTCCAATATATGAAAGTTGAACATAAGTGTAATGGAACGATCTGCGAACTCTGAGAAATTGAAGGATCACCTTCATTTGGGGATACCAGTTAAGGTTTCATGAAAGAAGTAGTGTCTGACTAGAGACTTGAAGAGAGAGAGGGACTTCAACAGACTGAAATGAGGGCAAAGTCTAATCCAGGTTCTGAAGATGGCAAATAGCCAAAGAGATGAGAAAGGACGTCATGAGGATGGGGGAAAGAGAGGAGTCTAGTCTGACTGGAGGAGGAAGGCAAAAGAGAAGATTGAAGCCAGATAGTGGAGGCCCTTGCGTTCAGGGTCAGCAGTTCATATTTCATTTGGCATAAAGGACCTACTAAAAGTTTTTAAGTAGAGACATGATCAGAGCAAGGCACTGGGGAGCAAGAGCATAAAGAATGGGTTAGAAGGTAAGGAGACTGGAAGCAAGAAGACCGGTTATAATAGTATTATAATAGACTTGATGAGAAGAGATTAGAATTGAATTCGAGTATTTGCAGTGAAAAGATGATTTGGATAGAGGCAGATCAAATAGCACTTGGTTGCTCATTGGATATGTGTTGTGAGGGAAAAGAGTCAAAGATGGCTTCTGATTATGGGCCTGGTAATTGGGAGGATGGTGATATCATAAGAAAGAAATGAAATGTGGATGTGTTTGGTTTGTCATGTCTGTGGACATTCATATGGAGCTATCCCATGGGAAGCTGAAAATGGAGGACTGCTCAGCTTTTTCCTATTTGCCCATACTAAGTTGGTTGGTTACCCTGGTAGCTACTGAGATGTGTGTGTGTGTGTGTGTGTGTGTGTGTGTGTGTGTATTTGTGTGTTTGTGTATGCTCTTACCGTTTACAGCACACTCTCTTGGGTTCTTCTGACTCCTTAATTAAGTGCATTGCTTAACACCAAAGAGATTCTACCAAGTCTTTTTGTTCTTTATACTCATGATTGATGTTTTCAAAGGTGGCCTAGGTACATTTGTAAAAGGCTCCTGCTCTCTGTTTTCTTTAATATAGAAGTCTATAGACCTTAAACAATTGTAAATTTAGAATGCAAAATTCTGGGCAGGTCTGGCTGCTTGGAACTATCACAAATGTGGCTTCGTCTCTCACAACCAGGACCAATATTGAGGGGCCAACCATGACCACCAACTGACAAACGATTGCTGCTAACAGGACAGGAAGTCCAACCTGTCTGATGTAGTGGGGCACCCTGAGGGAGGGACAGGAGAGGCAGCAAGTGCCACGCAAGTAAAACCACCACCACTACCTTGACCATCATCTCCCCTCAGAACCTGATGGATGCAAACCAAGACCCTGAATCCAAGAACCTTGGGAATAGGAATGCTTTCAGTCTAGCATCCACAGCAATCATCCTAAGAATCGACTCCTGTGGAGACGCAGCCCAGCAACTGCTCCAGCAGGTGCTACAGTCACATCGACTGAAGACCCAGAAGAGAGTTCTGGACACCAAAGTGGTTGGCCCTGTCAAGCGGTTCAACACTGAAAATGGATATGGTCTTACCAATGGAAATGAGATGAAAAAAGAGGCATTACCATCTGCTTTGTCCTCATCCCCTAAGGACCATGAGGATTTTCCATTTGACTTGTAGCTGAAACCTGCCATGTGCCTTGGTTCCCTCTTAGAATGTGAGTCTCTTGAGAGCAGGACTGACTTTTTTTTCCTATTTGTATCCTCAGCACTTAGCACAATGTTTTTGCATATCGAAAGGGACAAATAAATGCTTCATTAATTCATTCATCTGCAACAAACAATTCTCCAAGGGTTTGAAAGCACTTCATGCTCTCTTCTTTGCTTTGAAACAATAACTGAAGAATCAACATTCAGTTTTGAGGGCCATTTTTGGAAGCCTATTGACAATCTGTACAGTGATCAGAGCAGTGAAAGGAAGTGGAAATATGGTCACCTGAAGATCAGCCAGAGAACTGAGCATGTTCTACCTCCATAACCGAAGACTTTGTGAGCACAGGATAGGTGTCAGCAAGTATTTTAAGGGCTCTCATGGAAAAGGGATTTATTTTCCTTGGCCAAAAAGAACGGAACTAGGAACAATGGGTAGGTGTGGCAACGAGGCAGATTAAAGTTTGAAATAAGGAGAAGCTTCCTAACAGTTAGAGCTATACCAGAGAAATGGACTACCTGGGGAAGAAGTTGGTTCCTGCTCCCTGGAAATCTTATATTGGAAGTAGCATAGTCATTCGTTGAGAATGTTGTAAAAAGAGATTCCTGCTTAGGACCAGATCAGATGACCTTAGAAGTTGATAGAATCAGTGAGAATTTTAGAACTAGAAGAAACTTTAAAAGTCACCTAGTATGACCTTTCTGACTTCTCCAGAACACATTTGACTCAGTTGACTACTCAATGCTCTTTCCTCTCTGGAATTTCATGATACTCATCTCTCCTGGTTCTCCTACGTCTCTCAGTTACATGGTCTTTTGACTAGGGACTTTTCTTTCTTTTCCCCTTTCTTCTCCCACTCCCAACAGCCATTTCTAAACCATTGTCCTGCTCTACCTGACATGCCTATAACCATAGTTCTCCGAGGATGCTATGTGATTTCTCTCTCTAGTCTCAGTATTGGCATAAATGTGTACAACTCAGCAAATCTTTCTCAGGTTATCTCTTGGCTCTGAAGCATAGAAGTGCCTGGGGCCAAAACAGATAGAACCTTTATGATCCAAAAAGCCATATATATGAAGCTCGCATTTGCATGATGGCTTTTTAATGCTGTTTCTTTCATGGGAGGGAGCAGGGACTCCTTGGTACTTAGGCAACATTTTTTCTTCTGTTTGCTTTAGAAAAATTATTGAGAAACATATTATTCTAAATGATCAAAAGTATCATTAACAGCAGACCACTCATCTTTGTTCCAAGAGGCAGTGAACATGTACCACCAGACAACCGACAATTTTTTCTGGACAAACATTAAAAAAGGGCCTATTGATTGATTAGTTGTGATAAAAAAAATGTACTACTACTATAACCAAGATAGCTAGGTGTCCAAGTGGATAAAGCACCAGACCTGGAGTCAGGACGACCTGAGTTCAAATCTGGCCTTAGACACTTACTAGCTTTGCGACTCTGGGCAAATCACCTAACCCTGTTTGCCTCAGTTTTCTTATCTGTAAAATGAGCTGGAAAAGAAAATGGCAACCCACTTCCACTATCTTTGCCACAAAACCCCAAACAGGGTCACAAACAGTTGGAAATGACTGAGCAGTAATACAGGTCACTGTAGAGCAAAGTTGGCTAGCTGTCAGGCTCTCCTTTTTGCTCCCTTCTCCCTTCTGGAAAAAGGAGGAGTTGGTTCTTCCCAGACCATCCCTATCTTCTCTTACACTGGGCCAACTCAGGGAATAATATTCCCTTTGGTCCCCACCCTCGCCATCTTCCCTCTCCTTAATTCTAGATTGAGTTTTTGTTTTTGCCTGGGGCTCCCATATTC